GATTTAAGTTCGTATACTTTTTAAGGCAAAGGATAGTTGATAGTATTGTAGAGCTTCTCATTACCTTTCCGTGGATATAAAGATCATACAAAACGGAGTTGGGATGAAGAAGTTATAACCGTTTGAAGTTATGAGGATTTTGGGTTAAGCCGAGTACGTTGGGCGTACAGGGAGTACTCTGGTCGTACTTGGCTCAAGTTTGATCGTGGAAGGCAACCACATACGCTGGGCGTACGGACTCCTGGGAAAAACCCTAAATTTAGGGTTTGGACCCTATTTAAACACTTTATCTTTCTCTTGGACCTTCTTATCATCAGCATCCTTCCCTCTAAAGACTCCACATGAAACCCTATCTTGTTCTTGTGTGTTTTTGAGCCTAGGTAGTAATCTTTTGGCATTTTGGTACTCTTTGAAGAAGGAAGATCTTGGTGGTGAAGCTTTGGTTGGATTAAAGCTTAAAGATTCAGAGTCTTCATCAACTTTGCTACTATTTGAAGGTATAAAGCTCTTATCTTGATGACTCTAAGTGTTAGATCTAGTTTAAGGCTTGGTTTGAGCTTTATATGGTCCCTTGAGTCATCAATGTGACTATGAGCTGCTCTTGGAAGCTTAGAATGTTAGATCTTAGGATTTCTGATGTTACTAGGGCATAAAAATGTCATCTTGATGGTTTTTGATGAACCATGTAAGAGTTAGTGTCCATATTACGGACTTAGATGGATAAAATGGGTATTGGGTCCCAATAAGGCATGCAAAGGAGTAAAGTTGCCAACTTTACGTATTAAGACTTCATTTAGTAGTAGATATGAGGTTTGTACATTGTGGTCTTAATGGATTAAGTCATTTGGATTAAGAAATGGCATTGATCAGTACGTTAGGCGTACTCCAGAGTACGTTGCACGTACTGGGCTAAATTCGCGTATGTCGGGGGTTAGTCTGAGTACGTTGGGCGTACTCAACAGCTGTAGACTTTCGTTGAATTTTGTGGACCTGTTGACTTTCAGTCAACTGTTGAGTGACTTGGACTTATTGGGGGGGGGGGCAAAATGGTCTTTTGCCCATTTCTAGAATTGTTGAGTTGTTGACTCGTTCGATGGGTGTTATCTTAATTATTAATTAGGATAATGGTTTGGTTTGATGAGTGTGCGTGGAGCTTTCTTAGCATCGACTCATGAACATAGTTGGTTACCGACTGATTGAGGTGAGTCTCCTCACTGTACCTGTGGGTCGAAGGCACCAATGTCGACCCACTAGGAATTTTTATGCTAGTTGTCTTTGTGACTTCTGTATGGTAGGTTGGGCTAAGCCCATTGTATGACGGACTAGGCCTACTGTATGACAGGATAGGCCCATTTGTATGATGGGCTAGGCCCATTGTATGTTATGTTCGGTGCTAGCTATCTCCGTGACTCTTGCATTTGTATGTCGGGCTGGCCCTATTGGTTTGGAAGGGCTAGGCCCATTATGGTGGCTTGGGCCCAATATGAGGTCTAGGTCCCATGATATGTATGATATGTGGTATTTTAGGGAACTCGCTAAGCTTTGTGCTTACGGTTTTATGGTTACGGTTTCAAGTACTTTCAGTTTGAAAAGGAAGGGATCGGCTTGATCGCATCGCATCCACCCATGTTTCCGCAACTTTATGATTTTGGGATAGTACTCTGATAACAGTTTTTATTATGACATACTTTTGAAGGATTGGAAAAGGATAATTGATGTTTTTGGTTGAATAAAAATGAAATTTTTACCTTATAATTTTTGGGACGTTTCACTACAACTTTTCTTTTAATTTTCATTAAATGATATATAATTAATACCCCATCAAAAGTTCTTTAAACTCTCATCCTGTAAACTACAATGAATCCTCCCCTACCCTCACATCGTAGCTTGTTCTCTTCATCATCCAATACAATTTTTGGTGTTGAGTCATCAATCTGACCGTCTTTAAAGAAAAAGATGGGACCATCCATATATATATATATATATATATATATATATATATATATATATATATATATATATATATATTGGCTATTTCATAAATACTTAAACCCTTAATTTTTATACATTGTTAACTATAAGGACTTAATGAAAATTTTCCAAATAAGTCAACAAATCCAATATAAGCTAATGATGAGTTTAATAACCCATAGATCCAAAACCGAAGGGTTTACTAACCCTTAATCCAAAGTCAAAGGGTTTACTAGCCCATATTCCAAAGTCAAATGATGAACATAATCAAATAAGTCTACAAATCCAATATAAGTTAATGATAGTTAGCTAACAAGATCAATAATATTTTAAAGCTTCAACAAAACATAATGAGATTATTCAATCAACAAGTAATAATTCATTATACATATATCCCGTTCTCATGAGAATCTTAATAAGTCCAAGCTCACAATGATGATTTTAATATGGATTTCGTATAAAGTACTATCTATACACCATGTAGCTTAATCCAAACTAAGTATCTCGTGAACCATTCCATAAGACTCACATATGGGATAGCTAACCCGATCACATACATACTGATGATAATATATAAATATAATCACTCCAAATTCTCAAATTCCTTATCATGAGTTTCATATACAGTATCCCATCTTAAATGAATGCACAAATAGGATACTACATAGATTTTAATTCAACCAGGTTTCTCAAGTTAGCAAAATTACTTTGTAAAACAAGTTTCATGCAAGGCACAAGGAATACTTATAGTATGAAACATTGCACCTAAGATATATCACATAGATCAACATATCAATTCTACCAAAAAGTATATATAAGGATTACCACCTAATGATTCTAAATAATGGTTACCAAATGATTGGAATCATTAATCACCACCTAATGATTCTAAATAAGGGTTACCATGACTATAACACCCATACATGAATACTCATTCTCGCATAAGCTTAAAATATTCATTTCCCAATTATATAGGTACCATATAAGCCATTACAGTTCAACTAAGTGAGCTAAATACAAGTTAGGACAAGAATACGAATCTATCACAAGTTAATAAATGGCTCATTTAGATTTGTAAAGGAATTCCACACGACCCATGTAACATCCCTTCATACCTAAAATCAACAATTTTCACTTTTTTCCCATGCACTTGCTCCCAATGCTTCCAATCATCACCAAACTTAACCAATAAGTATTCATGACTAACATAATTCCTAATATCATTATTTGAATTAAAATTATTTATGTCTTAAAATATGAATTAATGGATTAAGTATCTAATGATTTATGACTTAGAAGACATCATCACATGACATTAACTTTCATATTGTGTCTTAAGCTTCTAATGACTTATTGCAAGTCTATAATATTATTATGATGATCATTCCAAACATGAATGAAGTTTTAGACTCATTATAATCAAATCCTACTTTATGATTCCATTCATTACTTAATAATTTCGATTCCAAATGTGGAATAGAGACACTTAAACTTACATATGATGATAATGATCTTTTATAATTTGTTTAGTTCGTTTAAATACTTTCAACTGTTATATTTTTTTTTCAAAACTCATTTAATTAATTCAAAAAACTTATTATTGACATAAACTCATTTGAAAACCATTTCCATTCATTCTATTAACGAATTCAATTGGAATCAACTTTCAAGCTCATCATCACCACAAAGTCTAATGGAATCACATGACAAGGAATGATGTATAAACAATTACACATTTTCTAATCTAATGACCTATGATTTGGATTCATAATCATTGATTTAAGCTCACGTATAAGTTTTCATAATTTGTGTATAAGTTCTAATTAATTAGGATTCTAATACCCTAATTCTATCCTTATGGATAATCATCCATTGTTGTAGTGTTATGGTGATTCCTTGGTAATTAATTATAAATAACTTAATTATAAATAACTAACTCATTAGTGATTAATTATATACAACTACCATCTAAAACATATATTAAGCATAGATTAATGATCATATTAGAAACATCCAAAAATCTCCAACAAACTTCATTCACTTAACTATAGAGGAAGTTGAAGTGATGTTCTAGATATGGGTTAACAACTATAAATCTCAATTAATAGATGAAACATAGATTTCAGATTTGAGACACAACACCAAACCTTATATATATAATGAAATGATTTGAAGAGAAATTATACCTTCAATTACTAAGAAATGAAGAGAGAATGAATGATTTTTTACTTAGATATCAAAGAAGCTTTCATTTCACCATAAGGCGCTTGAGATTGTCATTTTCATATTGTTTGTTACTCCCCGCTTATCATTTGAATAAAATGGGAAAGACGACAGAAAAGCTCTAGCTTTTATTCTTAGGCAATTTATATAAAAACGGCTTTCGTTCTTAATTTAACACATTCGCGAGTAAATGATTTAAGTATCTATCTATCATTTTATATAATTGCACTATTAGTCATTCTCCATTCATTTTGTAATTTTTTAAGACCCATAGGGTTAACTAAGTTAATACATGGTTACATCTCATCTTTTATGGTTTTACAACTAATAACATTCTAATATTATTTTGTTATCTGGATCTTTTGTTTTTGAAATTAGTTCTTATATTAGTTATGTCATTTTTATTTTATTTGATTGAAGTTTTTAAATTCGTTTTTTTTTAACTTATCTTATTTTTCCAAAAGGTTTTATTTTTACTAAGAAAAGCAAAAACTCCATGCTCAAATTAAAGGTGTTACAAAAGACCATCAATGTTAACAAAAACTATATAGGAACTATGTATGTCTATTTTTTAAAACATATGAACCATTGTGTAATATTGTCTACATATAATATGAACTTGGGAATAAAAAAGCTCAAGATCCGGTACCTAATCTACATTAATAATTTGAGTGTCTTTCACGTAAATAAATACCATCATTTTAGAAAAATTAAAAATACAAATCAAACTTAAAAATAAAAAATAAAAAGAAAAGAAAAGAAATCGATGAAATGAGTCCAAAATTCCAAATGATAAACAGCTCACACCTCTCAGCACCGATAAAACCCCCACTCCTCACTACCCTCCTCCCTCATATTCTTCTCTCTCTCTCTCTTCTTCACAAAAACCCCAGTGGCTTTTTAAATTTCTGTAACACATCGATGCATTTGAGGGTTGTACCTTGTGTTCAACAATACCAACCCACAAGAACAAAAATGGAGATTTTTAACCTAATTTTCGTTCTGTTATGCTCTGTTTTCGTTTTCGCTCATGGGTTTTCAAGGAATCTTCCCATTTTATCGTTCGATGAAGGGTACTCACACTTATTTGGGGATAATAATCTAATCGTCTTAAAAGATGGAAAATCTGTGCACTTATCTCTGGATGAAAGAACAGGTTCATTCATATACTAAAACACTAAATCCCCTTTCATTTTTATACATATAATCTTATCTTCTTTGTTTTTTATGTGTTTTCAGGTTCTGGATTTGAGTCTCAAGACCTCTACCTCCATGGATTCTTCAGTGCCTCCATTAAGCTTCCTGCTGATTATACAGCCGGTGTTGTTGTTGCTTTCTATGTGAGTTTTATTTTTTGAACATTATTTTGAAATCGTTTTTATTTTTATTTTTATATTGTTAGCGATTACTTTTATGCAATTTTGAATAAATGCAATGAGTATAACCTAATTGGGAGTACGTATAATAATACCCTTTATTCCTATTTCAATCTTCAATTACTATAATTTTTTTTTTGAAAAATCTAGTGAACCAAAAAATTTCGGTTTTTCTGTTCATATTATATTCTAATATACGTCTTAGATTTAAAATTACCAAAAATAGATTAAGAATTGTCCTTATTAATTATTATTAATAAACAAATTTAGATGAAAACAACCCGCAAATCAGAAAAGGAAATCTTTATTTATATTGTCAATCACAAATCGAAATTGATGGATTTATTTTAGGATAAGAAATATATACTTTATTTTCATTAAAAGGCCATCTTTAATACGGACAACGGAGTCAACATTTTCATTAAATTCTTCAAGGTAAACGTTTTGATTTGTTACAGTTGATTTAACGTTTAAAAATCATATTAAATTCTTTTCCAATTATATCAAAAAAAAAAATCATAGACTTATAGTTTTATTAAACCGTGTAAAACCCAAAAGTTAAACATTTGTACTTGAATAAATTATTTAACAATATAAGATTGCTTGCATCTTGGACCAGTGTTTTGCCTTTTTGTCATTGAAAATCGATCAAATATAATATACAAATCAATTTATTACTACTCTTCATTTCTTGATACCCGTTCCCTTTCTTTATTCAACAGTCATATTATTATCAATATTATTAAATAGGTCCTCCACAAAACAAAAATCACTTCTTTTAACAAGGCATTTATTCCCCCATTTTAAATATTTTCCTTTCCACATGGTGATGTTTGATAAATTGACATATTTTTTATACCCTTTTTGCAGATGTCAAATGGAGATACATATAATAAAACCCACGATGAAATTGACTTTGAGTTTTTGGGTAATATACGAGGAAAAGAATGGAGAATTCAGACAAATATTTATGGAAATGGAAGCACAAATATTGGAAGAGAAGAAAGATATGGTCTTTGGTTCGACCCTTGTGACGATTTCCATCAATATAGCATTCTTTGGACTTCCACTAGCATTATGTAAGTTTTTACTTTAATTTAAAAATATGTGAAATACCCAAATTGTCCCTGTCACAATATCATTTTGTTACCATATAAAGCGGTAAGGTATAATGGGTTTTGTGGTACATTGTATCTGGTAATAGAAAGCAGTGACATCTCTCTGCCCTTTTAATCATAACATCACCTGCTTCAGTGTTTATCATTATTAAAGAGAGGAAGGGCAACTTGGTAATTTTGTTTTGTCAAATTTCAGATTTTATGTTGATGACGTGGCAATACGGGAGATTAAAAGAACGGAGTCAATGGGTGGAGACTTTCCTTCGAAGCCGATGACTTTATACGCGACGATATGGGATGCTTCTGAATGGGCTACAAACGGGGGGAAGTACAAGGTAAATTACAAATATGCCCCTTACGTTGCGGAGTTTTCTGATTTTGTACTCCATGGATGCACGGTGGACCCCACTGAGCTCTCGTCGATTAATTGTGAGGCTAGAAAGAGTTCTCATTCGATTCCTATTGGGATTAACGCCTCACAAAGGGTAAAAATGGAAAATTTTAGGAAGAAATATTTGCAGTATTCGTATTGTTATGATAATGGAAGGTATAAGAAACTACCGTCGGAGTGTGTGTTTAATGCCAAAGAAGCTGAGCGGTTGAAGAGGTTTGATCCGGTGACGTTTGGAGGAGGCCGCAGCCACCACCGCCGCCGCCATGGGAATGGGAATGGGAAGAGACACGTGGCTATTTAAGGAAAACGGTTTTAGTTTCTATAAAATATTATCTACTATGATTTTGTTTTTGTGGTTAATTTTATGTGAATAGTGGAGGGGGAGAGCATATAATATATAATTTGTTTGTGATGATGATGGGTTTATGGCGAATTTTCCCACTTTGTGATTTTATCGATTTATATATTATATTTTATCTTCCATCAATTTATTGTAATTTTTGCTTTTTTCATGGTTATGTATATAAATTGGATAAAGTAATTTTGTCGAGGGAACTTTGCGTTTATTTTGGCAGCATATATCACGCTTTGGCGTTTCTGTGATTTTTGTCGACTGAGTTCGTAGGTCAAAAGGTGACGACGTTTCTGAGGTCAAAAAATGCGGTTTATGTAATATTTTATGGAGTTATTCACTAACGTGATATTTTTTTTGAATGTTTGATATTCTATACCATCTTCCTTTTAGAAAGAAAGAATAAGCTAAATGAAAATTTAACTTTGTAGGTAATGAATTTACGTTTATTGTTCAAAAAAATATAATTTTAATTGGTTATTGTTTGGTCTATCCGGTTTATATGTTTAAGAAATATCATTAAATTTACATGGTTATTCAATTTACCATCAAAAAAACATTTGAACAAATTTAGTATTATTTTACATGTTGATTTTTAAAAAACACTACTCAACACACTCCAAAAGGTGTAATTTTGGCCTACATCCATGGAACCATTGCTCATATCTTTCTTTGCTCTTCTCCCTCTCATGTTATTTTGTGAAAGAGAAATTAAATATTCTCCTACTTTTTGTTCCTATAAATCCTTCTACCCAATTAAATAGTGACATGTGTAACATTTAATGCTCGTTTAATAAAATTTAATAATATTTTATTATACTAATATGACATATATCATCATTTAATTTGGTAGGAGGATTTGAAGGAAAAAAATAGAATGATATTTAATTTGGTCGCTGATTTTTCCACTGGGATTTTTGATGCACCCACTAATATTTAAATTTATTGACAATTATACCCTTATACCCTATTTTAAGTTTTACACTATATCCTTTTTTACCAAACAACGTCCCCTCTCTCTCTCTCTCTCATTTGACGAACCATTTCTGAGCAATCCTTCTTTAGTTTTCTTAAATTATCTGGATTCACTGAACATAAGGACTAAACTACATATCAAGCCCATAATCAGATGCTAATCAGCGGCGAAGTGTTCATTTTTTCTTGGGGCTATTTTGGAGTTATACTGATCTTTTCTGCAATCGACAGTTATGGGTTGATTCTTTATCCTAATGGTAACCCTCAAATCATTCAACATTGAGTGGATATTGAGAGATTGCAATACTTGTCCTGGTCGTTTTCTCTTTTTTCTCAGGTGCTGCTGTGGTGGCAATTTTTTGGCAAATTTCCAATGTTCTAATCTCTAAAGACGCTTCTCAGATTTCTATTTGGTTCCATCATGAACACTTTGGTTTAAATAAGCTTTTGACCTTTGGGTGCTTTTTCCTTTTTGCTGTTTTTGTTGTTTGAGATTTAAATAATGGAATTTGGATTATCTCCGGATCCAAGATGATAACGACTTGAATTATCAGTAATTTGAGAAGAATTATAGGATGAGGGATGAAAATTCGTCGATTGAGGCATAATTGCAGAAAACAGAGTTAAAATTTGAAAAAAGAAGAAGATGGATCGAACACAATTAATCTGATACCATATCAAATTGATATCTGATTGAAAGAGAGAAATCTCATTTTCATTGATTGAAGAAGTGTACAATACAAAGGAATAAGAAACATATATACATACTACTTGCTAACACGGATTGATGACCTGTAACATAGTTGGCCTGCTACTTCGGAGTTCTGCTACTTTGGAGTTTGAAGAAAGTTAATCTGGGTTTTCCGTGATTAAAATAAACCCAGAACATATTCAAATCGTGAAGGGAGGGGTGATCGATTTGAGAGTTTTTTTTGTTATTGTTGTTTTATCGATTAAAAGGACGAGGGAAAAGAATGTTTTTACAGAGATTGGAATGATAATGGAGTAGAGATCTCTGTGTTCGAGACAAGGGGGAGTAACGCAGGTTTTTAAACAAAAAAAGTGGAGCTTTTTCTCTCTCCAATAACCCTAAGAGCATCGCCAACTCACTTCCATTTTCATTATTTCTTCCATTTTTTCCTTCATTCTTCTCCAACCCACCCCCATTTTGGGGGATATGAATAGTATTACACCAAATATGGTGTTATACTATTCATTTCTCCCAAAATGGGGATGCACTTTGTGTTGTCGGTTTTAGTCCATCTGTTTATATATTAATACATTTCTAATTTATTTTTACCTACTAATTATAATTTAAATGTAATATTTAATACTTATAATATTTTGTTATATATTAAATTATATTAACTAATTATAAATATAAAGTTTGTGTTTTGTTCATCAAATTCTTATAAAAAGTTAAATACATATTGAAATTTTAAAAAACGATAACGTATTTTACAAAAGCTTATAAATGTGTTATAAATATGATCTTATTTATTTAATATTATCGTAATGAAAAAAATATAGATTATATTTTTGTTAAAACCAAATTAGTAAAAGGGGTGTGTTTGACAACATATGTAAGTTGGAAGAATGAAATATACTTTGAATATACTTTTTGGAGTAAAAAATGAAGTAGGGTTGGAGATGAAACACTATTTACCACATTTTTTACTCCATTTTTTGGAGGAAAAAATAGGAGTGGGTTGGAGATGGTCTAAGTAATACAAGGGTATAAATATCAATAGATATAAATGTCAGTGGAATTATAAAAAGTTAAAGTGGAAGTATCAGTGCCCATTTAATTTCTCTTTGTCAAAAACCACCTTATACCCACATCCCTTTTTCGTTTATTTCTTCTTGAATCGAGCAACACTAACACCTCTGTTCAAGAGGTTTTAGATTAGTTTCTTGGTGGTGGTTGTCGGGTGCAGGTGGTAAATAGTAGTGATAGAAGATGATGTTTGTTGATGGAAATGGATGGTGGTGTTGAGAGTGGATGTTGTTGGTCGGAGAGGATAACCAGAGCATAGTTTAAGGTAAATCGTATACAAAAAAGATAAGTAGTAAATTGTGTACATAAAAATCATTAACCTTGAACATCTAATCAAAATGGTAGGTTTTGAACAACTTTGGTAAGTTTAATGGTAATACAAAAATGATTGTTGATTACCCTACAAAGTTAATTTCTCTTTTAGAAAATATACGTAACAAACCATTGTTGCCATAATTTTTTATCGCATATTAATGACAATAATGTTTTTATCCGACAAATAAACTTGTTAGTGAATCGCAATTCACAAGAACACTTGTTCTAGTATTTTATTAGCTACCCTTACTATATTCTCGTTGTGCTCGCGAATGAATTCGTGTCAACATGCTTATCATGCTCCTATCAATTTCTACGTAAGAAGTTTTGTTTTAAAACAAAGTTTATTGGTCAAATGTGTACGAAAAAAACATGGTTACCTAAATATGGACATTTGACCAATAAACTTGTTTGACCTGTTCATTAGCGGTAACATTACCCTATTATGAACAGGCCAAACAAGTTTATTGGTCAAATGTGTACGAAAAAAACATGGTTACCCAAATATGGACAAAAACCAAAGTTCATTACCTATTTTGGTAATATTGGGTTCTTTATGTTAAGTGCAAGTAGTCATAAGATCCATTGATGTGAAATGAAATTGGGTTGTCCGGTCTTGTGTATGAGGAGGTGGTTAAGTCTTGGGTCAACCCAGTTTAGGCCCAGGTAGTTAGGGGTTAAGTTGTATATGCTTAAGGGGTTAGGTTGTATGTATAAGACCGAGCAACACAGCTTAGCCCATGACTAGTCGGGACTAAACTGGGTTAGACCAAGCCTAACCTAATTGTTCATTGACTGTCGGAGCCTGATCCCAGGGCACACAATCCCTAAGACGGTTCTTGTCCAGTATTACCAAAACGGGTAAGAAACTTTGGTTTTTGTCCGTATTTAGGTAACCATGTTTTTTTCGTACACATTCGACCAATAAACTTGTTTGATCTGTTCATAATAGGGTAATATTACCGTAATTATCGGTCATATTACCCTATTTTGAACAGTTCAAACAAGTTCAATGGTCAAATGTGAACGAAAAAACATGGTTACCTAAATGTGGACAAAGACAAAAGTTCGTTACCTTTCTAGGTCATTAACCCTAGATTTAGGGATGTGCATGAGGCTTCACATATCTTGATCAAGTATATATACATTTTGAAATGAGAGTTGAAATATCAATCTTTTAATGGAAACCTAAATTTTTTTTTTTTACTTAAATCTTTTAATTAATTTTGTTTTTGTAGTTCAGTAAGTTTTTGGGTGGTTTTATTTGTCTGCAATTGCTTATGATTTCTTATAGTTAAATAAATTTTTTTAGTTTGTTTTAAAGGCAAAATGGTTATATATTTCAACGAAAATGCTAGACTTAGGGCTTGTTTGGCACGGAGCTTTTAGAAGCGTTTGGGAGCTTTTAGAAGCTTCTCAATGCGTTCTTTAGTCACATCAGATTCTCTGTAGAACAATATAAACAACCAATAAGTGTATGACATAAATAAGAAATACCAAGTTTGACTAAGTTTGACCACCTTTGACGAATCTTTTCCAACTCTCATGGATCAGTGACTAAAACCTGAACACCTAATTGCATTTTGGTTTTTTGAAGATTAAAATCAAGACATGCAATTCTTGGAGGAGAAACTCTCATTGGCATTCCTTGAGCTGCACGCCCAGTATTAAGTGCATACCCTTTTAATAAATAACTTTCTTTAGCACTTTTTCCATGAGCTTTAAGGATATTAATTCCCTATATTAATTCTAGCTTTTAGCTTTTAACAAAACGTTCTAGTTTAAACAAAAAATTTCGTTTGGTAGTTCGAGCGTTTAGTTTTTAGTTTAAACAAAACGCTCCAAATCTAAAAGCTACTTCATGTAGCGTTTAACAAAACGCTACTGGACTTTTGAAATCAATTTCCATAATTACCCTTAAAAATATATTTATATATTTATTTATTTTTAATCAATTTTCCTTTTATGTAATTTTATATATTTTAAAAGCTTCCAGCTACTTTTGCCAAACACTC